AAAAAATAATAATAACTTGACTAATAATACGAACAAAAAAAAGAGTTCTTTGATTAATAATTTAAACAAAAAAAAATGCGTTATGACAAGTAAAAAAAAAAAAAATTCTGTAACTACAAATACACACAAAAAAAAATACACTGATACTACTGACAAACAAAAAACAAAAAGTGCATTAACCACAAATGATCGCAGAAAAATTATTTCTTCTAAATTAAAAAAAAACAATTTGAAACCTACAAATCAAAACGCGCTTGAAACAAAAAATACATCTGTAATTAACGGATCTACAAATAAAAATACATCTAAAATTTTATCACCTAAAATTAAAAATTGTATGAACAAGGCTATTGATAATGAGGACGATATAATTATTAGTAATGACAACGATAGCTGTTATGATGGTACAGACCATCATGATAATATAAACATTGATGTTGATGATAATTTGATATCGATTTATCGTAAAGAAAATTGGCCCACAATTTTAAACAAATTGAGTGATCCTTCAACAGGAATTGAGGTAATACAGTTTTATTATATTGAAAACATATTTAAATAATAATATTAAATAATATTGTAGGTATTCAAAAGTATTTTATTTTACAAAGTGTATGATGAGACAATGCATCAATATACTAAAACTAAATCAAATATTCAGAAAATGAAAAAACGTTGCCTAAAATGGAAGATGAAGTATGAATGTTTGGCATTTGAAATGAAAACATTATTAGAAAGTACARAAAGTGATGGAAATACAAGACATATCAGTATTCAACATCAAAATCAAAAGGTAAATTTCAACACTCTATTTACATTTTTAATGATGATACGAGTAATATCTATATTTTAATGCACACTGGAGGCCAGAGTTTTTCATCCGCTTGAGCTTTCTCTTTCTATCATTAGAGCAGAGATTGAATARGGTTGGTTTTTTGCTCCGCCGCCTTATTACACCAAGCGCTCGATGTGATAAAGTCAACTCTTACCTCTGTTCTGAATGTYGAGTCATCCTGTCCACCGCTACCAATCAGATATCGTTGACTGGTAAATTTATATTAAAATGCTCATCTTCATCAAACTCTCACGTGATTGAATAATTAGCTCGATTTACAACAAATAGAAACTCGTTTGAAGGTTCACACCGTTAATTTCATCCTTGATACAAACATTTTCAACGGGTTTTCCCATGTTAACAAAGTCTACGAACAACCTTCATATGACATAAACTTTGATGCACTAACCATCTCTCCAGACGTGATTTAATTTCCTGGGCCACACCCCTAATATTTTACGCTTAATGCCCCCATACATGATTAAAAATTTACTGCCGACAATTTTTTAATTCGCATACYTTGGTTTTTACTCACAAATCAGTCAGACGACGACACAATCAGGAGCRACGTTCACTTACTTTTTCCCAGAATTACAGATAAAGTCAWCAATTCATTATCCACCTTTCTGCTTTCGTTTCTTCCTTGTTCCTTCACAATTGAATTCTGGGCTATTTTAGAAGCTCTGACATKCATATGTTTTCTCTCCCCCACCGTATTATTCCTCATTATCACTGATTCTCAATCCATTTTCTTAGTAATCGTCAACAACTCCTTCCTTTCCAAGTTCTCTCCCGTAATTCTAAAAATCTGTTACATCCCTCAAAAAAAATCGTCTCCTTCCAATAGACTTCATGGCACATTGGCATAAAGGACGACTCATTAGCTGGCTCCACCGCCAACCAGTCTTACTCGGGTTTTCTGGGGTGTTCTTATTTAGTCACCATACATTGAACATCCATACAAGAGCTATGGAAGCCGGAATGGGATACCCTACCTGTGTCATATGCTTCTGGTTATGGATATTGCGTACGATAGACCTTTTTGATTGCGTACGTTTCCAGTATAACAATGAAAACACGTAAAATCACTCGATTGTGTTGCAGAGTTGACAAATTTGGCAAAAATATTGTTTTTGAAAATTCAATATACGTTCTGAGAAAATAATTTTCCGTCTTTTATTGTACATTACTTTTCTCAAGGATTTTATATCTAAATGTAATACTTCAAAATCTGTTATCATCAGTTTAGATCTGATTATTTTTTATGGYCTTATTGAAATTGAGCCATTTGTTTTACTTTTACAATTTTCTAGTAAAATTTGGTGATAAATTTTGACAACATTGCACAAAAATAACATACGCAATCAGATTAAATAAAAAGGTCGAAAAAACATACCGCCGATAAGCAGCGATAAGTATTCYTCCTTTGGTTATAGATTCCTTATTAAAAACATGTCTTTTAAACCATGGTTTCAATCCCTAAAGATTATAACTAAATACACCAGATTACACTTTAGTCTCGCCAGTAGATGAATAACCACACCACTAATTTAAATTGGGTCTCAACAGTACCTCATATTGTGTCCTCTACCTAACTGTGGTGTGGATAACTGCGACTTYCGACACCTYAATTATTCTTCTCTCTTCATCCAAAGAACCCGGCTAAAATTCCATTTCTCAACTTTTCCCTCGTTGATGTTTTATTAGCCTACAATGTTAACATAATTAAATATACGCTCAATTATATAATGCAATCTATTAGAATTTTAAAATTTAAGCTTTAACAATTAATTCTATATTTATGTATTAATTAACAAGATATTAAATGTTAGTTTGAAATCTCAAAAAAAAAACAAAAAAAACTGAATAACAATAAAATTATCTATATAAAATTTTATTAGCTAATTATTCTTTTAAATTTAATTTTATACTTAAAAATGTCTTCATTATGTGTAGGATACAACATTATGTAAAAATATTGGAGTCGGAGAGCAAGAAAACGAAGCTGGAATACAAAAAACAGGTAAATCAAATATCTTGTATATAAATAACACACTCGCTTAGAGTTTATGAAAACTAATAATAAAATAATTTTTTATCTTTTTTCTCTAGTTTCTACWAACCATATCACACCAGAAAACTTCAAAACTTTAAAATTATACCAACAATCTTTAAACAGTGAAAACAAAAGTCCAACTGAATCTAAAATAGATATTAAGTCAACTAAACCTAAAGAAATTGAAATGAATATAGTGTTTACACCAGTGATGGTTGATTTGATCAAAGAAACAGTTTCAATGTTAAGCTCAGAATCGTTAAAAAGTAATAAAAGAAATTTAACCGAATCTGACGCATGTATTTCAAGTGTTAAAGCTAAAATATCAAAAACTAAACATTCTTCTGTTCTAAGTATTGATCATTTGGACCCACCAGATACAACAGTTTCAACAATAAACTTAAATTCATTTTATAGTAAACAAAAMAATTTAAATCGATCTGACTCCGTTATTAAGATGACTCATTCTAAAATGATTGAATCAAATTTGCCTTATACTCCACTTTTAAGTACTCCAAAACCTTCAACAATTAACCCAAAATTGTTAGATAGCCAAAAATCTAATTTAATTCAAAGTGATTCAAGTATTAAGTTATCTAAATTTTTAATAAATGAATTTAATGAACCTGCTTCTTCAAACTACATCGATTTAAGTGTAGACAGCCCACAAGATATGACAGCTTCAAGATTAAGTCCAAATTTTATTCAACATAATACAGCTATTCAGATGACTAAATCTAAATGCATTGAGTCTAATGAATATTCTTCTTCAGTGTCCACAAATGTATGTCCAAATACTCCTATTTTGACACAATATGACCCAGAAATTGAAATATGTGAATTAACTGAGTCCGATGTGATTGATTATTATGAACCTTTCATGTCAGATTCCATTGATAGTACTGTAAACTATCAACCAGTTATAACAACTTTAGGGTTAAGTTCTTATTCGTCAAGTAGTCAAGCAATCATTGAGACTCAATATAACACAGATACTATGAATACAAAATCTCAGTTTATGGAGTCTACTCCAGCATACATCGATTTAACTGCAGACAGTCCACCAGATTTAACAGATTCAAGTGAAAGCCTCAATACGTTTGTTGGTCAGTCACGTTTGACTCAACACAACACACAAATTGAGTGTTATGAACCTWCTACAGCAGCATCTTTTGCTTTAACTGTAAACAATCCACCGGATATGATGAATTCAAGGTTTAACAATGAAAACAATATATTCACAGAATATAATGAAGGTATTAAGCTAATTTCATCTACTTCAATGTCCACTGATTTAAACAGAAATATTCCAACATTTTCAAGTTCATCTTCGAGAGAAATATCTCCGTTGAACTATAATCCTAATTTGAACATGTTTGATCAACCAAGAGTTGATGTATTAGTAGTTGAAAAAGATGCACAACTTTCGACATTAAATTCAAGTAGAATGAAACGTGTAGATTGGAAAAGCCCTAATAATCTRATGGTTATCCCAAAAAAAGTTCCAATCATGAAATCCCGTGAACGTGCTGTTCTTCCAGTTGCTATCAAACGACTTAAAGGGTTAAAACCAAATGTGAATATACCACCACACTATCCACTGTTAAATGAATTACTTACACAACAGACAAATAAAATAATAAAACCGGATAAAATAAATTTTGTATCAAACATACCAATTCTTTCTGTCATTGTAAGTCCTGTATATTTTTATTACTAAATGCATATTTATTTTGATATTTTTATGTAATAGAATCAAATGAAAGTAAATTCACAACCAACTAACACAACTATTGAAATGGATCAAATAAATATGTTCAATACACCTGTCATTCACCTTAATGTAAGTCATGTATATTTTTATCACTAAATACATATTTATTTTTATACTTATATATTCAATAGAATCGAATGAAAGCACCATTACCTGATGTTGTTTATGAAAGCACTCAAATAACGAATGAAAAYAATTATCAGGAGACTATTCAATCAAATTATACATATAATCCACTTAAAGCACCACACCAAATCAAACCTGTACCCATAGCTATTCCGTTACCATCTTCAGAAATAATCTATGATTATTCAACCGAGGTATAAATCATTTGTATTTAAAATATTATAAGCATATAAATATACTTTTTTAAGTATTGATTTTATTTTGTATCAATAATTAATTTAATGAACCAATTATTAATGTGTTATATTTTATTGTTTCCTTTGTACTATTTTATTTTTAGTATTAATGTTTTAACAATAAAACAATAAATAAATGTAAAATAAAAATGTTCAGTTTTTATATTATAGTGTTTTTATATCAGCTAAAATGTATATTTAATAAAATCATATAAATTAAAATTAATTTTGGCAAAAATTGAGAGTTGAGATCATATAGTATTAATGAAAAATCTGTGTATGTAAAGATTTGTTCTGGCATGGTAATCTTACCAGGTGTAATGAAAATATCTTACTTTCGAGGACCAAGTATACATACAAACAATAATAGCATACAACCGAGATAGAACATATGTTACTGATAATGGCCAATATTCAGATAATGTAAATATTATCCCAATTAACTTGACAAGTTTAATACGACACTGATTGTGGTTTAAATTTAGGGTAATAATAATTTTACATAGAAAAAAAATGAAAAGAATTGGTATTTTTTTATATTAGAGATATTTTAAACTATTAAAATTATTGTTACTATTTAAAGTTATTACAACGATTTAATTATTTTTGTTACATGTTTGCACAAATATAAATTAACTATAATAAAAACTATAATTACATAATATGCTACAGAGGCTTGACATTTGCATATTTTTGTACTACTTTTACAATATATGTTACATCCCTAAATCCTGATCACTATTTAATGATTGTTCATTAGCTATTTTTCTTATAAATTTTATTAAAATTTTGATATCATTGTATTTTTAACATAACTAACAAAACATATTATATATTAAATTGATTGTTTTTATTAGACATCCGTACCAATGTTCCATTTTTATTTCAGAATTCAGAATATAACTCATTTATTGAATCAGTTTTACCTCTGCCTAATGTTTACTTCTGGTAGTTAATGAAACTGTGTTAGTATTTTTTAGGATGGTAATATTTATTAATTAATTTGTACTACCTACTTGTTGAGTTAAATTTTCTTTTGATTAACCTTCATACAATTTTTTTAATTCATTTTTATTATGAGTTCCTATTTACTTTAATATGTTAAAGATAGGTACATCAATATATTCTGTGATATATTTGAATATCTACCTTTCTTAAGAGGACGCCACACCCGCATGTGTTGTCTYCGTCGTACAAGTGCGTAGCATASCAAATTTTACGCTCAGCAGATCACGTTTATYTCCGTTAATTTAAAATTTAGAGTGAATTGACCGATTATAAAAATTAAAGGCAAGATTATTACCGAGGTGATCTAATGGGCTTTTTATTATATTTTAATTTTAAAACGAGTTATGAGTATTTTAAAATTGTAAATTATTTTTTATATCTAAAAATACTCATAACTTGGTTTTAAATTAAAATATAATAAAAAGCACATGAAAAGCCCTCTGTAATAATCTTGCCTTTTATTTTTATAATAGGTCAATTCACTCAAAATTTTAAATTGAAGGAGATAAACATGATAAACGAGATTTTCTGAGCGTAAAATTTGCTATGCTACGCACTTGTACGACGGAGCAACACATGCGGGTGTGGCGTCCTCTTAAGAACATACCTACCAACCTACCAGAGAACATTTTATTGTAATATATCTATTCACAATACATCTAGGTACAAAATTAATACATTTTCTTTTTGGATTATTTTACATTGATMAAGTAAAGTCAAAAAYAATTATCATAATTTACATTACTTACCCACAATTCAATATTAGTGTATTACCCATTAATCATTATARTATAATATACTATATACAATTTACGTACTCTGAATTGTTATACAAGTAATGACTGATCAATTAAAATTAAAAATAGATATAACATTGTCATGGGTGTTTCATACAAATTTGCTAACTGAAACCATTAGGGTTTATGAACAAGATTGGACAAAATACTCAAAAAGCAGTATCAAGATACTAGATACTAGAAATTAAACCCAACAAACGAAAAATTTTGAGATTTTTCGATGTATTATTAAAGACTCGTGATATTTGTATAAAAATTATTATAAAATTAACAGACGCAAGACGTATGTCGTGCGATCGGACAAAATTAACTAAATACTAAAATATACTTTGATGATAATAATATGAAAAATACGTAAAATTATAATTTTTGGATGAGTTAACATTATAACATTTGTAAATAATAATAAATTAATATTTAGGCAACTAATATTATACTATTACTCCTACATTATTATTAATTTGAACCTAATTAATACGAAATATTAGTTTTAATCTATAAAAATATTTACAAAATTAATTTTAAATAAATATATATATTTTTTTTAAATGATATTTCTATATTTTATGAATTAACTTTTATAAATTATATTTTTCTGGACAATATGACTTCAGAATTAATTTAATTAGGATTATAAAAAAATAATTTGTGTTTATTCTACGTATCTGACGTAGTAGATACAAATGAGTTAAATTAAAACAGCAAACTAGTAAGTTAAGTTAATAAGTTCAAAATAACTTAACTTTTAACTTGATAGCTAGTTAATGTCTAGCATTACTGACTACTGTCATAGGCGCAATTAGGGGGGGGGGTTTGTTTTACGTAAGGTTGTTTAAATATTGAATGAGATGTTGTTAATAAGATTACTTCTTCAGAAATATTGGAAATATATTCCAATTCCACTAATAAAAGAAAAATAGTATTAGTATAAAATAGTACCTATATTATATATTATGCATAATATTGTATATTATGTAAACATACTAACATAGTATTATTACCTAACCTTTGAGATGATTGTACCTCATGTAAGTGACTGCTAAAGACAGCTTTTTAGACARTAACGTAAGAACCACGACGATAAAACCGTTCGAACTTTACCGCGAAAATACCGCTGTATGGTATTTTACTATTATATCGAAAAACCACGAACTTTTATACTTCGCAGCTCACGTAGTTTATTTTAAGAAATTATAAATCGGTATAAATTAAATTTCAGTCAATAAACATTTGATATCTCCC